GTTGGTAGGTTTTGAACTCACAACCTACCACTTGGGGGGTTGACAACTTATCCACTTCACTAAGTCGCCACACCCTTTTTAAGCTCACAACTTAATACTCATTCAAGAAATTACTTGAGAGGAGATTAGCAATGTTATTAAAAACCTTCCAACTAACAAAATCCCAGGTACTAACAGTCTAATATATGAGTTTTATAAACTTACCGATGAGACCATAACTCCTATCTTACACAAAGTATTTAATCAAGTACTAAACTCTGGAATCATGCCAACCTCTTGGTGCAAGAGCTTGATCTCTTTAATACCTAAAAAATCGACAGATTTGGAAATATAAATAACTGAAGACCCATATCTTTAGTAAACAGTGATACAAAAATATTTATGAAGATTATAGCTAATTGGCTAAACTCCATCTGTGAAGAACTTATACCACATCAGCAGCATAGATTTATTCAAAATAGATTTATTACAAATGCAGCACTAGATATTATTACAACTATAAGAAACCAGTCAGACTTATCTAAACAATATTGGCTACTTTTCGTTGATCAGCAAAAAGCCTTTGACCAAGTTAGTCATAACTTTTTAAAGCTTACTCTAAAAAACATGAACTTTGATTTTAAATTTATTAATCTGGTTCATAACCTCTTTTCTTGCCAAGAAGCCTATATTATCGAGACAGGCAATATTTCTAAACTATTCAGAGTTGAAAGAAGAGTTAGACAAAGTGATCCTCTTTCATTATTGCTATATGTATTAGCTTTCGAGCCCCTTATAAGAACTCTGGAAAAACAAATGCAGAGAATCAAATTGGAAAACCAATATTTTAGAACTTTAGCATATGCTAATGACTTGACTATAGAAATTGGATCCCCCTCTGACTGGAACAAGATACAAGCTTTGATAAGCTTATATGAGGCTGCTTCAAATGCAAAGATTAATAAAACAAAAACAAAACTAGTTCTACTTACTTTTACTGCATGAAGAGTAGAGCTCTGTAATGAAGATTAATTTACTAAAGTGGAGGAACAAGACACTATTATTATTTTAGGATACGATGTTCTTATAAATAATCAACCAAAAAAAGACCTTTGGACTACAATTATTAATAATATAAAAGGATCACTCGACAAACTTTCAAATAGAAATCTTTTCTTTAAAGGGAAAATTCTTATTGCAAAGTCATTTATTCTATCCAAAATTTGGTATGCAGCCTATTTGCTATCTCCTAATAGGAAACAAGTAGCAGAAATAAATAGAATTATCTTCTTTTGGATCAAAGGTTCTTTACGAATGCTTCTCAGATATTCAACTTTTCAACAACCAGTTGATCTAACAGGACTTCAAGCTCTGATTATTAAAGATATGTTAGATGCATGTCTAATTTCTGTTTAGATAAAACTTTTTACCTCAAACTCAATATGGGTGCTATATAAAAGAAACAGAATAAGCATAATGCTTAAAGAAAAAAGAAATATTTCACTATTACAGGCTTTAAACTCAGACAATATATACTCAAAAGCTTGGCCTACAGAATGGAAACCCTACTTGTTGGCTTGGACAAGAACTAAAGAAAGAATCCTTTCTACTACTAACTGGCCTTAGAACAAAAAAGAAATTATAATCAATAAAACAAAAAGAGATGAGCTTTCAGTTAAAAAAATCTTGGAGCTTTTGAAGAAGACTACTCTACCACCTATCTCTCTTCATTTCACATTCCAGACTATACAACCTACGTGGCTTTCTTTAAAGTCTATATGCAACAAGAAAAAAGACATTTTTTGGCAGCTTTTTCACAGAGCTCTTTCTTTAGGGTATTACCTTAAACACATAGGACTATCAGAAACAGGCAGCTATATCTGATGTTCAAAAGAGCTTTAAACTCTTGAACATTTTGTTCTTGAGTGTTCTAGAAGTATAATAATCTGGAAGGAAGCATATAAGTTCCTAAATTTCAATGAGGAAAAACCCATACTGACCAACTTGGAAAGCATTTTTCAGGCTTCAAACATTGACTGTGCTCAAGCATTAACTACAATAACCTGGCTATATATTAATATAATTTATGAAATTTGGTGTCATTACACTTCATTAAAATGAGGTGGCTTTTATATCCCTCTGAGCTTACTCAGCACTCTAATTAAAGCTCATATTTCAAAAGAAATATATGTTTTAAAATACAACACACTAGGTTATAGATCTAAACTGCCAAACTAATCTGTAAATATCTAAAATGTATTTAGACTGTTCATAATATTTTAATATAATAATATTTTAATAAAGAGCACCACCTATGCCCCTAGTTGTTATGAGCAACAGAGATACTCAAAAAAAAAAAAAAAAAAAAATAGACAATTTACGATCTGGTGTAATATGAAAATCATGATTTTTTCAAGAAATGTCTTCACTATTGCACATTGCTAACCCTAACCCTAATATAACCTTGGCTCTAACCCTAAACTAATACATCATTGTTTTTTTATTGGTTTGATTTCACTGATTAGTTGGTTATATTAAGGATATTATGGTCCTGCAAGGACCATGGTCTTTTGAACCAATCCAACCAGTTTTCAGTCCTAAATAGAGGACCAGTCTGAACTAATCCAAAGCTTATAGAATGTTCTTATTGGTTACAAAAAAAAAAACCAAATTGCCGATAACCATATCTATAAGTTTCCAATATCGCAAATTCAGCAACTTATTGATTTATTGATTTTTGACTTGGTAACTTGTTGATTCGATCATTGGCAATTTTTTCAATTGTTCTAGAATTTATAGTGATAGCTGTAAGGTCTTTTTTTTATGCAGCAATCATTAAAATCACAAAGCTTATTTTGAAAACCAGCAATATATTGGTTTATAGACCGGTTTATAAATTTATCCTGGACCATGATCCAGTTTGTGGTCCTCTGCTAGGACTGGTCTTTAGAACCAAGACTAAACTGGAATAGACTATAACATCTCTAGGTCATATGACTAACAATGCATCGCACTGGTAATAAAATGATAATTTTCAATCAAAAATAAAATTAAGAATCAGATTTAAATTATAACAAAGCTTGAGTTATTATAAAACCTTGTCCAAATCTATTCTAGTACAAAGCAAAGTGTAAAGATAGATTCATATAATTATATAATTTGTATATGATTAGCTGTTACTTCACAATTCATTTAGCTAAACTAAATAAAAAATTACAAATAACACAAAGTGCAAAGAAATCTCTAAGTGGCCTAAACTATAAACAAATTCTAACTCTATTAATATCTGATACAAGCATCCAAACTCTATGAAAAAAAATACAATCATCATTTTTTTATTGCAACAAAAAACTCACTTAACTAAATTATTTTTTACAAATTAAAAATTCATCCTAATTGTGTTTAAAAACCATCACAAGCATTAATAATAGAATTCATTTAACCTTAGAAACTATCACACTAAACCCATGATTAATGGATTATGACTAAGATGATCGACAAATGTTTCTAAATAATTAAGCCTTAACTAATATAGGAAAAATTAAATTATGAAAGCGAAACAAGAAGAACACAAATTAATAATGAGAAAAGAGAAGTATATGAGGCAGCATACAGAAACTCAAAAATAAGATTTGTAGTATAGAAAAAAGAAAAAACCACATTGTTAATAAATTGCTTAAATCAAAGAATGAAACAAATCTTACTGATGTAAATAATTTCTATATGATTATCATGATTCTAAAAATATGTAAAAGAAGTTAGTAAAGCAGAATTTTATGAGGTGTATGCAGAAACTCAATGGGAAGAATAAAGAAATATTATTGTAAAATGAATCCAAATAAAGAGAAAGGAAAGACAGTTGTTATTAGTAATTGCCTAAATTAAAAAAGAAAACAAGAATAACAAAACATGCCGATCCAATATACAAGCCTAATAAAAAATAATTCCATATTATATGATAGTGTTTTAATAATAAAAAGTTAAATTAGGTTGTTAAACCAGTAATTTTGTAATTTAAAGTAGTTGCAATATAAAAGAACAAATTTTTTACCTCTGTATTGATAACTTTCAAGTTTCATAATATTAAATAAAGCCATCATACTAAATAAAATAAACTTAATCCATATTAATATGAACCAAGAACCAGAAAATATAACATTAGAAGATTTTGATACAGATGAAGATTTGATTGGAATGGTTAATAAAGTTCAATTCAAAGATACAAATAAAGAAATTTATGAGAATGTTCGACAAGATAATGATGATGATGATGATAAATATGATAAATATGATAATAGTAAACATAGAGAAGAAGAGAGTGTGTTAATGCTAAATCAAGGAATGTGATTTGAAACATGAGACATAGCTGAAAAATATCTTGATGATTATATTAAACAACAAGGATTTTGTTTGTATAAAAAAAGGCATGTACAAGATCCAAATAATAATACCATTACAAGACGTCAGACATATAAATGCTCGTATGCCCATACACATGAAGCTCAGAAGGCTGTTTTAGCTAAAAATAGAAGGGACCGAGATTCAAACATGATTAGATGTTCTTGGCATGTTAATCTTGCTTTTTCCAAATTAGGAGATAGTGTTCACATTAACAGCATTATTGGTGAACATAATCATAAAATAAACCCTCTAATTGCCAAAATGGCACCAAAATTCTGCAAACTAACTAATGACATGCTAGAAAAAATTAAGTTTTGGATAATCCATAATAAAATAGATATATCTACACAATATAATCTATTAGTTGCCTTATTCCCTCATAAAATAATTAACAAAAAAGATTTAAGTATGCTATATAAAAATATAAAACACAAGTTAAACCAATTAAAAATGATGCATGTCAAATGCTTACTAAATTGTATTTAAAGAAAGAAAATGATTTGAGGTAGATAGTAAAGTCCTGTTTTGAACCTGAAGAAAGAAGATTAAATTCCTTATTCTGGATGTCTCCTGATCAAATTAATGTGTATAAAAGATATCATGATGTTGTAATTGTTAATACAACATTAAAAACTACCATATTTGATATGATTTTAATGTTAATTATTGTTGTAGACAATAATTTTCGTAATTTGGTAGTGGTTGCTGCGCTTTTGGAAGATGAAACAAAAGCAACATTTGTGTGGGTTCTTCAAAAATTAAAAAATTTGTGTAACACTATACTAGCAGTTCTATATTCTGATGCTGATCTGACACTAATATTAGCAGTACAAAAAAATTACCCAGAAACATGGCACTTTCATTGTATCTTTCATATTAATCTAAACTTAAGAAAAAAACTTAAGGAAAAACTGCATAATCAATTTGAATCCTTTTATACAAAATTCTTTGTTATGAGAAACTCTCTTTGTCAAAAAAAATTTGAAAATAAATAAAATGAACTTATTACTGAATATTCTAATTGTGAGCAATATCTTACAAGAGTTTTATACCCTTGTAAGGCTAGTTATGCAATCAATAGAAATTTTCCACAGAGATTCAGAGTACACAACGCATAGAAGTATGTAATAAAATAATTAAAGACAGGTTGAATAGAGCTTCTCATTTAACTGAAGTTGTTGAAGAAATTCAAAGGTTATTTAATGACCAGTCAAAAAAAGCAATTTTAAATGAATATAAAAATAAAATTCTGACAAAAGGAATTCCAAATATAACAGAAGAATACTTCTCTGAAATTGCCAAAGTTTTGCGAGAATATTTAACACTACAAATCCTTCAAAAGCAATGTGATCAAATGACCCAATCGCTATGCTATGATGTGTTTTTAATTAAAGATTGGTCATTACTTCTTGAGATAAGACATATTAACAATTTGAAAGAATCATAATATCTAATAGCATTACTTACAAGTTATTATGACCTTTCCTCTCTTTTAGTTAACAGATGATTCTTATCAATATAACATGGCTAGAGAAGATGACTATAATCAACCACAATTTTTGTTGTTATCATTGTTAGAAAATATACCTCATAACTCTGTTCTGGAAGTGTGGAAAGTAGTTAGGCATCATGGGCAAAAATCAGAGCCACAACACATAATTCTTCTTAATGATAGGTTACATTTGTGTACTTGCCTTTGGCTCATTAATAGGAGTATTGTGTGTCAGCATTTTTTTTGAACTATTTCTTATTCAGCTAATGCACAGTTTCATATCTTGTTAATTCCTCATCGCTAGTATAACAAATCAAAGTATAATATTGATCAAGAGGAAATATTAACATACCAAATCATAAGAACTGAGATAGCAGAACTACCTTCACCTGAACCATTGTCATTTCAACATCTAGAAAAGTTTAGAGAAACCTCTAATATTCAACAAAAACAAGGATCTAAACAAAAATTTGAACTTGGAATAAGTTATGCAAAGAAAGCTCTTGATCTTGCAATTTAGGCTGATAAAATTGAGGAGTTCGTTGATCAAATAGAGAAATTCATTGATGAAATGAAAGACGAATTGTTCGACAAACAACATGATACTGATCACTTGTTTATTGGAGATCTATTACACATACCACACAAAGGTCGACAACCAAAAAATTTCTAATTTTGCTTACAGCTTTTACTCATCTACTTTAAAAACTTTTCAAGTTAAAATTCTTACAGATAAACTTTCTGTTCTTTATACTCTTTATAAATGTAACTCTTTATTTTCTTTCTTCTGTCATTAATGCAACCAAACTAGCTCTTTATTTTATTGAGTTATCTGGCCATTAACCCAAACAATTTACTACTTAATCTCTAATTCTTTTAATAGTATTTTAAATACAACTAATCTTAACATGTCTGCCAATCTTGTTTCTAATTTACATACTAAAATTCTCATACTTAACAGTTTCAAACTGCATAACTCTTTATATATACTTTTACTTATTTCTATTCTATCTGGTTTAGTTTCTATTAATCTTATTTCTACTATCCACAACTCTTTTATTTCTTACTGTATTGCTACTACTCTTTCTATTAAACTTCTTCTTCACTTAAACCAACAAATATACAAACAAATATACAAACAAATATAGATTCCATACTATATTTTACATTCTGCACAGTCTCAAACTATACTTTCTACTAATTCAACTTATAGTTATTCTTTTAGTTTACCTTTACCTTCTATTTCAATATCACAAATTATTACTAAAATTGATCTTTGAACTATCTAATAGATTAAATACCATACCCTTCTTTTTTATATTATTACTCAAACCCAAATCTAGATAAGCCTTAGCCACTCTTGTAGATTTAAGTTACAGATTATATATCTGAGTCTTTATTTTTTATATGTAATTTAAAAGCAATCTTTTTTTTTAAAACTTCAATTAAATTTCAATAAAGTTAAAGGCATAGCCTTACCATTAATATTTAAAAAAAAAAAAAAATTAAAATTTTGAATTGGCATGTATGAGTATTTTATTAGATTTGTATTATACATATATGTTTATATATAGTATTTTGCTTTGTTTTACATTTTTATAATATATATTTAAGTATCAATTTCAAGTTTGTATAAATGAAAATATATAATTTCTATAGCTTTTATTATGCATAAAAATTTTGATTCATTATATGCAAGATTTGGTATAACAACTAAGATTAAAAGTAATATTTCTTATGAGTTACTTATTAGCTACTTATTAGTTTTTTATATAGTTTAGATCTTATAGATGATTTATATGCTTTTATCAGTTTTTATATAATTACTCTATATAATTTAAACTATAGGCTGTATCATTACTTTTGATATATTATATTTTATAAAATAAATTAAAAAGCTTATTAATAATATTAAATCTAATAACTGTTATTTTAAAC